TGGGTTTGGTATGTGTCTTCTTACTTGGATTTGGCCATGCTGTTATGGAGTCCTCAGCATTCGGCCTTGCTGCCTTATGCCCCAAATCGTGTATGATTTGGGTGATGGTCGGTGAGGGCTTTGCCGGTCTTGTTGGTTGGCCGCTTAGCATGTTTCTTAATTGGGCCCTGACAGCTGGTGGTGTTGATCGAGTCGCTGAATGGAGATGTCTCATATTCTTCTGCGTAACCTCCCTTGTGACTATCATCATCGTCCCCATGTTCCGTATGATCACCTCCAAGCATCCATACATGGCAGAAGTCCTCAAGATAGAGCAGGATCGAGCCAAGTCCAGTGTAATGAAACGTCAGACCCGTCGCCCAGTTCTGGCCATTGTCAGAGACGTCAGCCCTATGGCTTTCTGTGCCTGGTGTACTCTCACTGTAACGTTCATTGTCTTCCCTGCACAAGTCGTGCTATGGGAATCATCTGATGCTAGCAATGATGGTTTCGTATCCCAAGTTATTTACACTTTCCAGGTGCTTGACACGATTGGAAGGTTTGTGCCAAACTTGGGTATCAACCTGCGTCCACGTTACCTCATTGCATTCACTCTAGCACGTTCCGTTTTCATTCCTCTCTTCATCTGCACTAGTCTTTATCCAACTGTAAATCCCTTTCACTTTGACTGGTTCAAGCATATGCAGATGGGCTTATTTGCTCTAACCAATGGTGTCTCAGCAACTCTTTCAATGGTTGGTGGACCTCAACGTGTTCCCAATGATAAGGCAGAACAAGAGGTTGCTGGATACACCATGGGATTCGCATTGATCAATGGTATATTCGTTGGCAGTATCTTGGGTATCTGTACGAATCTGGGCCTCGACCAGTGATTCGACCTGTATGAACTTACACCTTTGAAACGATTATACTCAATGTAAGAGTATTGATTACTGTTTCTTAAAGATTGTATTATAAGCTATAACGAGATTTACCCTTTTACTAGTTTATGATGTGTCTTACCGGACCGGTATAGACATGTATCAAGTTTCTATGATACGTACGCCAGCCTGGCGTCATCAGAGTATCGTTATCGTTAAGATAAGAGTATAGCTTCACTTATCGTATGTAGCCATGTCGTGTTCCACCAGTGCCGAACACGATTTTCGTGCACCAAGAGAACGGTGAGCAACAGGCTAATTTCATGTACTCATCATCATAAAACTCGACTTATTAAGGGTTAGATGATTGTTTAACACTCCCATACCGATACCATAGTCATGGAATATAGTAAAGGACTTGGTGGCAATGCACGTAGGAAGATGCAATCATTGTCTGGTAGTCCAAGAATGGGCACGACTTGATCAGTCGTACAACGGCGCGTTAGACTTGAGCGAATTACGAGATACACGAACTAACGTGGTAACAAGTTTGGCTCTGGACTGATGCTGACATGGTGACTCTCGAGTATTCGTGCAAGAGCATGGACGTAAAGATCTATGGTTGTCGCGAACTCTGGTCTAAATCTTCCCCTTGATTTCACGCCTGAAATCGAAATTTCTTCGTGTCGAGGTAGAAAATCGCCGTATAACATTACACTGTCCGTAAACCACATATTCCTCTAGCTGTTTCTGTCTATTTGTATGTGTGCACACGGCTCATCTGTGGAATATGTAACAGTTGAGATAATGTGACGACCTTCCCAGTTATCGGCGTCGCCTTCATCTCACTCGGGATTTGTTTCGAAGCTTATAAGGATCATAAAGACCTCTTCACAATCCCTGCATCGAAACTTAGCTGGTAGGCTACACAAATCCTGTCTCCACTATGTTTTGTACAGATCTACCCGAGGGCTACAGGAATCCTGTCTCCGCTTTGTTTCCCTTTCAGCTCGAGTGCTAGCGTCGGGGAATACCGATTGTGGCTTCACACTTGTAATTGTCTAATAGGTCGATCGTTGTAGAGTTGTGTGTCGTATCGGTATGTTCATTCGGCATTGCATATATAAAGTGTTTGGTGATAGTTTATTCAACTTAGTCCAATGTCTTCCACAGCAGAGTCGCCTTCCCTTGCCACCAAAGACGAGAGTATGAGTGATATCGAGGACGGTGGGTCTATCAAGAACAATGATGATAAGATCATGGAGTCAAAGCAGCCCCCCAAGGTTGACTGGTCACTATTGGCACAGTTCCTCATTCTTGGATTTGTGGCATTGGCTCCTTGGAACTTCGTCTTGGCCGATCTGCCTTATCTGGATTCTAAGTTCCATAACCATTTTAGTTCCACTGTCCCTATTATCTACTCTGTTGCTGTCAACGTTGCCCAGCTACTATTAATTTGGGTAGGTAACAAGTTCAGCTTTGCCCCCCGATTCGATTGGGGATGTGGGATCTTGGCTGTTTTCAATATCCTACTAGCTGTTGTTGCCATGACCATTGGTGATGGTAATCCGTGCACTAATGAAGGGTTAGGTTTTGGTCTTGCTCTTGTGTGTGTATTCTTGCTCGGTTTCGGCCATGCATTGATGGAATCCTCTTCCTTTGGTCTTGCTGCTTTATGTCCAACATCATGTATGATTGCTGATATGACTGGTGAAGGTGTGGCTGGTTTGGTAGGATGGCCTATCAATATGCTTCTACAAGTTATCTTTGATGCTGGTAATGTACGTCGTCAACAAGAATGGCAGTGTCTCGTTTTCTTTTGCGTTACATCTGTTATTACTGTTTTCGTTATTCCTATGTATCGATGTATCACTTCTAAGCATCCTTATATGAGAGAAGTGCTGAAGATTGAGGAGAAGCGTAAGACGGCTAGTTTGAAGACTCGTCAGACTAGACGCCCGGTTATCTATATTGTCAAGGATATTCTACCTATGGCTCTCTGTGCATGGGGTACCATGGGTGTTACCTTTGTGGTCTTCCCCGCACAAGTTTCATATTGGAAGTCTGAGGATCCTACCAATACCGGTTTCGTAGCACAGGTTATCTATACCTTCCAGGTTGTTGATACCATCGGACGTTTCGCACCGAGCCTGAAGTTCGACATGCCCGAATGGTGTTTGATGATCTGGGTTACTGCTCGTCTTATCTACATCCCACTCTTCATCTGTGTGAGTTTGTATCCCATGTTGGTCCCATTCTATTATGACTGGTTCAAGCATCTCATAATGGGATGCTTTGCCCTCACTAATGGTAGTGGCTGTACCCTATCAATGATGAAGGGGCCTACTCATGCGAAGGGGTCATCCGAAGAAGAAGTCTCTGGGTATGTTATGGCATTTGGCCTTATTTCTGGCATCTTGACTGGAAGTATCTTTGGTCTTATTGCCAACATATGCCTTGGACAGAGCACTTAAGTGCAACCCTTGGAAGAGCACGTTGTTGGAAGCGCTTTGTTGTATTATACTGGCCTTTTCCCAGGTTTAGTTTCACTTCTCTAGTCACTCTTCTCTATAACAAAGTAGTGACTCGTACGAGGCGTCTCTCAATGACCACCATGATCACTTTGTCCGTGTGGACGGAAATTTTCCAGCCGGAAAACTATACCTTTGTTGTATATTCTAGATTGCATACTCGTTCTTATCATCTGGCACTACTTCTATTAATTGTTGTTGAACCGAAAAAGTATTTGGTTCTCTCCAATATCTTTGTTTTATAATAAGACCACTAATATAGTCTACTGATCGCTAAATTTTTTGGTATATGTGCGAGTTTGCTATCGTTGAACAATGTGAGATCTTCTCTCTTTCAGACCAGAATAGTCTATGACTTACCAGTCCTGTCTCTCTTGATCCCACCGAGTTATAGTATGTGTTGTGTTGCGATTAGTCAGCTACCTATCATACGGTTAGTCACTAACATGCTATTTAGATAAACATAATTACGATATAATACCTATCTCAACAGATTTAAATAACATATAAAACTAAATAGAACTACACATTTATATAAATCTAAAATCCAAGTACTTAGTATGTGTTGATAGAATGGGTCGGTTGGGATTTGTTTTGCTGGCGGATCGCGTCCAACTAGGCAACTCGACTATTCGGGAAGAGATATATTCGTGCACCCTAGGAAAATGTATCACTAAGACAAGCAATAAACGAACATATCACAAACTGCTGTGGCTTTCATCTCAACCGTTGACACTAATGTTAGGTTATTTCATGATGATAGACGATGTAGATGTAACATACAACAGGAGAGAACGTGACTTCCCGAGATTGTTGTATCGTATGTCGACACGTAAAACAAAGGACCAACAATGGATAATCATTTCAAAGACACATGTCGGGGGCCATCAGAGGCTTGAGGTTGATACTTCGCCTTGAGATCTTGTACGCTAGCTCGAACTCGATCAAAGGAATCCAAGAATATCTGATAACTCTACTGCAAAAGAGAGGTATACGAGGGCTCATACTTCCTGCGTGATTGAGCCAGGCTGGAGGATTGGAGTGTACTTATACGTGCCAGCTTGATCGCAATCCTCTGTGGGACTCGAAGGGAGATCATCAGTCGATGAGTCGTCAGTGAATGCAGTATCTGCAAGAGTCGTCGTGGATGGATCATCCAACAGTAACCAAGGGACTTTTCGTGTCTTTCCTAAGGCCGGCAGCTTCCTCGAGCGCTGTGGCGACAGTCTCGTCTACGAGCATTCGAATATCAGCACCAGACCAGCCACTCTACAGTGGTCACTTAGCTGGAGGCATACACTTCATAGCATTACCGTTTTCCGTGCCCACATTCGTAGATTCACTGAGTCTTTTTTCAAGTAGGCCGAGTTCACCAAGCCCTTGCACATATTCTGTAGAATCTCGAGTCGCTGATCTTCGTCTGGCATTGGAATTTGGACCTGATGGCCACATGCTCACTCCTAGTGGGATGGCAGGAATAAGAGTACATGCAGCCCAAAGCGACCGTATCGAAGCAATGCTGGATCGATGACATCTGGACGATTGGTGGTACCTGTGGGAGGGTGATGACGATAATGGTTGTAGCCTTGAGGGCTGTTACCAATGATAAGAATGTTATTCAGTGGTGTAGTGTCGACTCTCTTACCCGTCATGGATGTACCGTTACCACCACTATAATCTGAAGAGAAGGGATATACTACAGGGGACGGGAAGGCCGAGGCCCTCTGCTAAACTGCCATAGTGACCATTGATGACAGTAGCATGAGGGGTGTTGGGTGGCCTCGATCCTCCCCCAACATTGCCTCCAGCACGACCTAAACGCCTTATCCCATTCTAATGGATACCCCCAAGTACTTCTATCTTGTCGAGTCCCTCCTTGCTGCTTTGGGTCAGGTATCGGTAGTATACCTGTATATGTTCGATGATCATGAGTAGTGGATGGTACTACCGTCCATGCAGGCTAGTAAGCATGATACCAGAGAGTCATCAGCCCGACTGTTAGTGTCACTCCCTCTAGTCTTAGTAAGCCCATCTATCTCATCTAGTATGATGATGTGCAATGAGAAGGGATCATGAGCAGTCCTTCGAGCCGGCTCGAATAACTGATAATAACTCTAATGTGTCATATGTCGACAACTGCTGTCAGTACTTGGAACAATTTATGTTCACTCTCGCCATACCATTTACTCTGTATATCAGGAGCATGGACAACCTGGATGGTGTCACAATTAAGAGCCTGCCAACAACAACAACGCTACGTTGAGGTATGTTGGATGGGCGACACTACCTGTGATAGGACCTTAGCCAGAGAGGTCTTACCACATCCAGGAGGGCCCGAGAGGAGTAGACCACGATGATGCTGCAGACCCAGTGCCTGAGGTATGGCATAAACTACTGTGCAGTACTAGCTACTGACTTTAAGCTCATCTGGATGTAGTGTCCGTGATAGCAGGAGACGCTGTAGCAGTCGTATCTGTAGTATACTACATGTGAGCATCTATTGAGGTCTTCTTACTGAGGTTTGTGGTATGCCTGATATACCACCATCCCGTATAGCCTTTTCTAAGGTTACTATCTCCCTCCTCCGCCTCGATATAATATCATCAGTTCTGTCACAAGTAAAGAATGCATACTGTGTTGTCTTCCTGTCCGCCGACCTTTGCTGGATTGTATTATCATCATAAAGGTAGTAGCCCTGTGGCCTCTCTACCACTTGCCCAGGTCGGCCTCTGTTGAATGGAGCTGATGAGGGATCAGTATCCTCCTTGACGGGCCGAGGAGGCGCAATAGAGGCCTCTCTAATGTATCTAGCCAGCATCATCATCATCATGACAGTCTACATACACTGTTGACCCTTGGGACTACTCTCGCATGCGCTTGGCGAAGGCGCAAGCGTGTGCCATATATGGTACAGAAATACCCTCAACATCGGATTGGGTAGATGTAGGCTGCCAGTCAGTAGCATCAGTGAAGGTCCTGCAGGCATATCCATACAGCCATAGGCTCATGTTACTACCCATCCCTTTCGAAAGCTGTTGGTAATGCCATTGATATACCACTTATTGCGTAGTGATGACTGCCTATCTGTGTATCTATATAGTCCTCGATAAAGTTACGTATCTATGAAGATGACAGTAGTAGTGGATGGGAGCATACAGTATATCAGCAGCACCCCTCGATTCACTGATTCCCTATCGTGTCGAGATAAGACCTGTAGTAGACGTATACCAACATCCTTATCACTCTGGACACTGTATTTGTACGTGGAGTAGAGGTCTGTTGCTAGGGTGTCAAGAACCTGCTGGTCGCCATCACCATCACTAATGATGATAACGGCTAGTACATTCTGAGCCTTAGCTGCATCACAAGGCCTTGATGCTGTTGTCACAACACGCTGTATTAGTTCGTTCCTTGTTCCCTCAGTAGCTACACCCTTTACTGCTAATATAGATTTCAAGTCATTATTAGATAATGGCTCAAGGGCCAGCTTGAGTGCCTTATTGACACATCATCATCACTCTATATCCAACACCGCACCCACCTGGACTTGAGTACTACTCTCCCCTCCAGTCACACCGTCATCATCATCATCATCATCACCACCACGGTTATTGAGACTACTACTACTGCTAGCAGCACGTCGGCCAGCATTGATGATGCTATACATGTGTGCAGTAGGTGGTCGTAGACCTGAGTGGTAGTAGTAGTATGAGAGGGGCTGGATGGTGGTATTGACTTATCACAGAATTGGTGGGCGGCACATGCAGCAAGCGTAGTCCCTAGATAGTGGCGAGGAAGGGAATGCAGCATTGTGATATCCCCTATGATGATAGTTGATTGATCATCGATCAACACAACTACAGAGTAGTGTTGACGTGATGAGCATGTACCATGGCTACGTTGAATGGTAGTAGCTATCTAATGAATGATGATAATAATGAAAGTGAACAATAAATCTACGGTAATAGAATGAAGGATGTAGAGAGCGTAGTGTGACTACTTCGTCATCAAAGCTGCCTTGAAGCATGCTGTCTTACAGTGAATACTTTACCACATCTCCTCCTGAACCGACCCCAGAGGGTGGAACGTCTGAGAACCATCACAAGGAGTGGTATGACTCCACAACGACACCTCGCTCCACCAGCTACTTGTCCAATCTACTATAAATGCCCTCACCTCGACGACGACCATCTCCGGACCTCATCAGATGATGAGGCAATCGTACTTGAGCTTCCCATTAGTCTAGCCCGGACTTCACCCATCTTCTTGTCATCATTCGAGGACCTTCCCCTCCCAGCTAACACCAAGAGCATCCGCGTCATGCCCGTCAAGATCCTGCGCTCCTACACGATGGCGTATCGGATACCTCGAAGCCTTCCATGAAAGCTGTCCGTTCGTCTGAGCTGTCCCCACCCATTCTATTAGGATGGACCAGTAAACTTGAAGGTAGCCTTACGCTGCCTCATTGAGGCTCGTGACACCACTGTTCAACACAAGACTATGAGGATATCCCCGAATCCATTATTGCATAACATGCTGATGTCCCCTACTGTTGGAGTATGATAACAATGATCACGGGAATACTTAATATCAATCAAATATCAGACAGTAGTTACTGTCTTGCTCCTTCCAGTCAAACTATGCATCATGCGAGACGCGATAAAGGTAGTAGTATACGGTCAGTCAAGAGTATGTACTAGCAGTGGAGTATGATGAGACGATAACTTACGTAAATACGAAGGCTCAGGTATTCCTATAGAGTTCGCAATTACTATACAGTATACAAACTGTGAGACGCTGTTGAAATAGATAGCATGCACTTAATACACGGAAGAAGCACACGGATCGATGATGATGGGAGAATATGCACAAAGTCTGGAAGCAAGTCTATGCTTAGAACTTCATGCTGTTATACGAACCGTTGGGACCAATCTTCCCACGGTGGAAGAAACGGCCAAGTTCAGTGGTCAGATACCGACGCTTGAGGCTCCTCAAGAGAGATTGGCGTCTATAAGGGAAGACATGATATGTTGTGTAACACGCTAGTGTACCCACTTTTCTTGTAGAAGACCGAAGTCTTCCTCACCGTCGCTGCTGTCTGGAACACCATCGTCCAGAACGGCAGAACGGCTCGAGACTGAGGCATAAGTGAATACAGGATGGATGAACAACAACATACCTGTAGTTGGGGTGAGGTCGGCGGACTTGTACTGAGTATCGCCCTTCAGAGGAGTATCTTGGGAATCAATAAACAGCTCGACATACACCTTGTGAGGGAGATCTCTGATAACATGACAACTGAGATGATACCGCACCTGAGTGAAGTTACCTTTTCAAGGCAGCCATAGTAAGCCAAGAGGGTTTATCAGGATCAAGCATAGAGGTCACTTGGGCAACAACAGTGCGGTCCCTCATCCAGACCATAGTGGCTTTACGATTGTCGTTACGTGTGTAGTTGGAGGCCAAGACCTGACCAAGAGCATGGAGAGCGTGATGGATATACCTTACTAAGCATCCACGTCTGATGCATCGATCCGGTGGTAGATCAGAGTTAGCTCGATCGGCAGGAAGGTTGATGATAGGATCTTCAGTGACAACCAGTACCTATCATTACAATACCCTCTCCTGATGGTCTATCTTACCTCATTCTGAGCTATAGTGCACTCGGCAAGCTTGAGGCCGAATCTAGCGTCACGGGCTTCTTTGCAGATGGCTACGTGCCACACCATAGTAAGTAACCGATTTAATAACGGTTGAAAGAAAGATAAGTGAACTAGTCCTCATAATCTTGCCCTCTCATAATCTCTCAACGCCTTCATTCACATTGCGCGCGGTCGGTCAACCGCTGCGGATATGATCCACTGTTGGGGCATCTAACGTTTTCCCACTGTATTTCTAGAACGGGCAGTCTTAAGGCGTAATCCCTTGTTTTCGTTGTTGTCCCGTTTTTGGTGTTGCCCCCCATCCCCTGTCAATGATGATGATGCCATCATCTCGGTCCATGTCGACCCTCCGTCGTGTTAGCCCTCGAGCCGTGAAAGCTTGTGTGCCTCGTCGAGATGTCGAGAAGAAGTGGCATAATCTTGGGGAGTTTACCATGACAGAAGCCGATAATGCGGCCTTCCGCGATACTAGGGTAATGCTTCGTCCCACTAGGGGCACCTCTCAATGTTGAGTAGGCCCGCGATACGGTAGCATTGAATACCATCACCAAATATGGTACTGCCGAGCCAGAGCCTATCGATTGGAAACGTTGGGAGAAGGAGGTCGGACCTTTGTGATGGGCATGGTCATGAATTGTTAACATTAGATTACCCATACAGAACTGGTGTCTGCACTGAGGGCTTTCTACACCCAGAACATGCAGATGCTGGATGACTTTGCTCAGGAGGATCATAGGAAGGCAGTCAAGGACGTCTGTAGGGTGTCGAAACTTGGTATGAAGTCACCATGGAGTGGTATGGCAGGTGGCACTTGGGAGATCTTTGATGAGGCTGTGGTGTCTTGTGAGGATAGTGTTAAAACATCAGAACAGATTGTCAAGAACGGTGCCAGAGCACTGTATATCAGCTTTAACAACCCTCCTATCTCTCATGCTAGTACCTCTGAATGGTTGGATGCTGATCAGTACGTATGCATTGCAGCTGTATACTGTCCATGAGTAGTACTATAGGTATTGGCAAGCCTTTGTGGAGAAGCACATGTACCATGCCAATTACCTCAACGCCCTAGCTGAGGATCCAGAGAGTGCTGAGTACATCAAGGGTATAGAGGAGACCACTATGAAGCAATGGCATGTAATATAGCCAGTAGTTGTTATACAGTAGGGGAGGCCTGCCTCTTTTAGACATGGGATGATCGGGGTGTTACCAACCATAACAATAAGTATCTTTACCAGAGGCCTAGCTTCGAGGTCAGTACTACTACAATATTTTGCCTACTATCAGCTATGTATATTTCAGTATTATGATCTATATAGAGGCCCTCTAGTTGAGCATATGATATTCTACCTTACTAAGACAGGAGGGGATGCACGTACCTTCCCAGAGCTTATGCCTCATCAGTGGTTTGCTGAGATCTACAACAATCGGTAGTAGTAGCGGTCAACCTCAGATGTGGATTCTATGCTTGTTAGGTTTGAGATGTATTCGGTGTTACAGCGCCGTAGGAGGGCATTCCAGGAAGCATCATTGAGTAGGGAAGCCCACTTGGACCTGGCACCAGCCCATATGGATGCTGAGGGCGAACAGTATTATCATCACTATCTTTCTAGACCACTAGGGTCGTTGTCAATACCAGGTTTTATGAACGTTTATTGTCGAGGGAGAGTAGCATGGTAGAGCTATCAGCGGCCCGTCTTATGGGTACTAGTCACAGCCCCATGTCGGTATTATAGTCTTCAAGTCTGCTCGTAGGTAACTTCATATTCCTCAATGATGCCGCTATTCCCATCCAGACCCAGTCTGCTCTTCTACGTGTCGTACAGGAGCACCCTAATGGGAAGTACGTAATGCCTTGTGGTGATGGTAACATGTAGGATGTTAGATTCTATTCTCTTGGGGATGATGTCAACAGTCTCTTTTACGTCCCAGCTGGAGAGGTAGTGGATGAGGAGGTCTGCCCTGTTGATGCCTTCAATGCCTACATGGACTACATGAAGCTCACCGGTGGTCTATACTAGCCTTCCCATCGCTTGTTTATCTTTCCTGCTGCAGGTCGGAGGTTCAATCCCGGGTACAACCAAGCCCTCAGCATCTTCTATCGCACTCTGGAGTCGAGGAAGCCTGGTTTGGAAGGCCGCTGGTTCCAAGTGAAGGGTGAGAGGCAGGCGGATGCCTTCTTGAGGAGGCTCAAGGTAATGATGCTTTTACCTACTGTGGAGTGCCTTGCATGTCGTGTTGGCAGGCCGATGACCCTCATAGACCCGTCTATGAGGAGTATGTTACTGAGTTGAAGGAAAGATGGTCTAACAAGAAGGAACTATCAGAGGCTGAAGTTATGCCTAGGCTGCTTGATGTGGAGTATAAGTATAGGAGAGAATGCATTGACTTTGACACGTTGGTGATGTCGATGAATGAGGAGATAAGCTCAGAGGTGAAGGAGAAGGCACCTGAGTATGAGGAGCTCATGGCTGATGGTAATATGCTACCTCGACCCCTCATCATCATCATCACGACGATCTCTCGTGTAGATGGTATGTCCCATATGATGGCTGATGGCTCCATAGTGGCCATTGATGCAGAGTCTCATCAGGGCTTAGCTAACCAACAACAGCTCTTTACAAGGATGACAGATTTCGATGCTAGTAGGTTGCCGCCTAATGCCTGGTAGTAACAGTAGAATCTTGTCCCTCCTTTAGGTAAGGACAAATTCGTTGAGAACGTGAACAACACTAAGACCGGTCTCGACACCAAGAGGCATTGAGGATGTTACTCATAGTATAGTCCTCCTCGCTCCATCGTTTTTAGAAGACATTCTTGTTCTCGCTTGTTGCTGGTATTGTAGTGGTGTTGGTGGTAGCTACTACCATCACTACTACTGCGGCGGTGGCATCTCCTACTATCATCATTAAGCGTGTTTCGGCTACTGGGCTGCTTGTGTTCAGTGAATCATCATCACATAGGAGTAGTGGTTGGGTTAGGATTCGCCATAGGTCTAGCAGAGGTGGCATATTCTATACGTTGTTTGACGTCTGTTGGTACGATGATTACTGCTGGGAGACATATCAGAACTAGAGGTAGTGCTACAGACAATTGGAAAGAACTACACTATGTGAATGTGGTTCATAGACTAGGGTAGAGAGAGCGACATGTATAATCGTGGGTATGTTGGTATGAATCGAAGTGTAAGATGGAGTTGGTAGACTCATCCTGGCTCGCCTCTCTGTAGCCCCTCCATAAAGCACTAGTATCATCTTAGAGGAGGTACACCAGCTAGTGATAGGAGCAATAGACAGGAGTGACATGATATCCATGGCTCCTCCTCCCCAGCCTGGATCATTGGGCTGCTCATCAAAACCTCTTGATCATTCGTACTTGATTTACACCGCCCTATCACACTAGCACCTCCTGTTATATACCCACAGCTCCTCATTGCTTGTAGTACCACGGTGGTACTACCACCCTAGTCATGGGACTTCTCTCACTGCGCCGAGTTTCACAGTCTCCTTCGGAGTGCGCTACTATATCAATATTAGTTCTCCTTGTACATGACAGAATCGTCCCTATTGAAGAGGCTAGAGGACGTCACTTCTCGTTTGGAGGACCTCTACAGCAAGGGTGTAGTAGATAGGTCAAGCCCACCCAACAAGTAGGGTCACCTCGTCAATCACTCTTCCACGACAGGGCTCTGTTACCAACTATGGGCTATCATCTGTCTGTAACATACATCTGACTCAGTGCTCGTGTTGGGGCTCGTCTCGACGTGTTGTGTGGTCCCATGTTAGATCCCCCGAGTTGCCCGAATTCGTAGTCAACTTCGATACTAAGTTGGCTGTTTCCCTCGATGAAGTCAGGAAGAAGGCTGACAGTGTTGGGGAGAGTGTGGTCACTTGTGCTACCCAACACTACTGTGAGTGTATTGGGATGCTTAGGAATGTGAGGGGTCTGAGGAGTGTGGTAGATTATGGTGAGGACTGTAGTTACTCTTACTCACTACTATTGCCAAGAAGCCTCAGGATGGTGATTGGCAGTCAGTGTTAGCACCAGTAATGGGCTTATCGAAGGAAGTCGGCAAGCTGTTGGACTCTGCTGGTCGTGCTGGTGAGTTAGCCCCTCATGTGAAGGCTACGACGGAGGCGATGAACCTGGTGATGGTAGTGGGGACTTACAGCAAGTCTCCATAGGGGCTTCAGGTTATGATGTTTGTGACTCCTGGTAACCCTAAGGATGTCATCACCAATTGCTTGGAGAGTGCTGATTACTACTTCATGCAGGTGGTCCCTTATTAACAGCTATCATCAGTGGTAGCAAGCTCCATCATTTACAGGTATTGCGACGGAAGATAGAAGCCGAGTCAGCTTGGGTTAAGGCGATGAAAGCTAGTCTTACTCATCTCCAACAGTACTTCTCTGATGATGACAGATTCAAGATGGGCATAATGTGGAAGGTCAAGGATGGAGCCGATCCCAAGGAGTGATACCCCGTCTCCTAGCTGCTTGCTCCACACTTCTCATTGTCATAGGTTCCTGGCTAAACACCTATTATCAGCAGCACCATGGCCAGCTGGTGTGGGTTCTCCTCCGCCTCCTCCCACTGCAAAGGGGCATGCACCTCCTCCTCCCCCTCCCCCGTCTAGTGAGCTCTACCATACCGTCTTGATGCACTCTTAGTTGAGGCAATCCAGGTGCTAAGGGCAAGGCGCCACCACCACCTCCCCCCAGCAATGGACTCAGTAATGGCAGTAAGAATCAGTACTGTGAAATCCTCATCAACGCTCGTTGTTGTAGCCTCCCTCCTTCCTCCCCCTCCCACTGCCCAGCCAGGTGGTATGGCTGCTGTAATGTACCCTGGATAACTACTCACTACACTGTAATGATGCTAGGTATTTGCTGATATCCGGAAGATGGGGACTGAAGGTAAGAGCCTGAAGCATGTCACGGCGGATATGAAGACTAAGAACAACAAACCTCATGTGTCCGAGAAATATCGTAGGTCCCAGTTCTTACTACTCGCAGCTGTAGCTCGCCACTACTAGTCACTAGTTACGGCGGTCAATGGTGAGAGTAGTGGTACGAAGCGTAAGGCGGGAGTGACTAATGCAATGGTCCCAACCAAGAGCCCACGTTGCGAGGTCCTAGCTTCTGTACGATGGTGTAGCTTTGGAAATGGCTCTTTGTTAGATAGTGAGGGATAACTGGGTGGTCGAGAACTATCATAACGAAGCAGATGTATTGGAGCTGCCTCATGTCACTATGAAGCAGCTAGTCTACATATCCAGCTGTAGTAATTCAAGTATTCATATACCTACAAAGGTAAGCTAGTCTTCACCACTATACTACGCCCTCATCAGTAGCATCCCTCAGTGTAAGTCGGTGTGTGTTGATGGGTCCAAGAATGTAAGGCTCATCCTTGAGAGCGTTATATCCTCTGTAGAGCTCGTGAACTGTGAGAGGTACGTGTAGTTCCCTGCTACTTTCCTCATCAGTATCTCACTTCAGCTGCCGTGTCCAGACCATAGGCCATGTACCCTGCATCAGCATCGATAAATGCTCAGGGGTAATTGGGCTTGGTCTTGCGGAGGAGAGAATGAGTAGAGTGTGTGTTGCCTAGGTACAGCTGTACCTGTCTAAGGCTTCCTTGGACTGTACTATCACCACCAGCAAGAGTTCTGAGATGAATCTCAATATTCCAATGTAGTATAGTAGTGTCCTTTCTACTTCGCATGGAGGTAATGTCTTCAGATCCGATGATGGTGACTATAAGGAGATGCCAATACCCGAGCAGTTTGTCCACAAATTGGTGAATGTTGAGGAGCAACCTGCTACGGCCAAGCTACACAGTGCTGTGTCCGACCTGTAATGAGACTCTTATACTATGCATTGTCATCATCATGATGCTGTGTAGGTACGCGTGATGATGATGTCCTCCATTAATTCTCATTGCAACTATACTCAATTGATCATGATTTTCGTATCGATACCACAGCGTTGCGCAGTAGTGCTGTGCAGTAGGTGCCTTCTTTGGACATCCTCACAAAGAACAGTAGCTTTCTTCACTTCTGGATGGATACCTCGACGGCCTCTCACGTTCCTGAGGAGGCTCCTGTAGCCAAATTGCAGCTCAATGCCAAGCGGAAATGTGCCCTAGTAGTAGGGTTCAATGGTAGTAGATCGAGAGAGCCCAACAGTCCTATAGGGTACCTCGAGCCTGATAATGGAGCTCTGGTGTATCATAATAGTAGTGGGATGTCAGGAGCTCCTTGTTTGCAGGTACCAAGTACCGAGGCTTACAGATGAATGCTGATAACTGTGATCGTATAGACTATGTCGAGTCAGACCTACTAGGGGCTATGAAGAGGGCTGGTGTGGTGAAGCCTGATGTCGTACGTTTAGATGAGATTCAGTGGACGAGGAGTAGTCGGACAGATGCTGGTGTACTACACCTACTCCCTGCGTGGCTGGTATAACCGTTCCCTTGTAGGTCTCGGCAGCGCGTATCGTGGTAAGTGCTAAAATACTAGTTCATGAGGCACCTGAGGTGAAAGGCAATCGTCAGGCTGATAGGGTGAATAGAACGTAAGCCTTCTATTGATGGGGGAGAGTCGCTCATATCAAGCTCTATAGGTATCCAGAGGTGGTGGAGGCTATCAATAAGGAGCTACCTAGAGAGATCAAGGTCTTCAACTGCATGAAGATATGTGCTAGCTTCAATGCTCAGAAGTCATGTAGTACTCGTTACTGGTTGGGTGTTGATTGTGGCCCACTCGATCGTTGAAAGGTAACTGGCGGCACTACTCTTACTACATGCCTATGTCCCTAGCTGGTGATGTTGATAAGCTACAGGAGGCATTGGGGAAATTCACCAATGCCCACAACTATCACAACTTCACCAACCTCAGTGTTAGGGAGATACGGAGGGCCAAAGAGAGGAAGGCTAAGAAGGCAGCAGCTAAGAAGGATAAGGACTGGCGTGAGCATCATGGAGGTGGTGCTGCATCACCAGCAGTATGGAGTCTTGCTCAGACGAAGGGTCTAAGAAGGTATCTGAACCAACTAAGGAGAAGGAGGAGGAAGCGGCAAATAACAAGAAGTCGGATGAACCGAGTGTAACTCTGGCATCTGTCACCACCCCAGTCGCCGAGGAGCCTTCGAGTAAGCCCCATGCTCTCACTTGCTCATGTGATATCCTATTCCCAGAGACAACTGATGAGGGACAGCCCCCAGCGAAGAAGCCTCGGCTAACAGTAGAGAATAGTGTCGAAGATAAGCAGGTCGAGACTAGCATGGCCACCACCAAGGAGGAAGCTAGCACACCTAGTATGACACCTGAGGATGATGGGGAAGATATGTCCTCATCCATGCCGGCCGTTGGTGGCACCTATCTACCATTCAGCGGTGGGCTATCGGCTCCTATCATCGGCCTTGGTAATCATCCTCTTCCTAATAGGTTCTTTGCTACCTCGTATACAAGTCCTGCTGGACCAATGCAACAGTGCTATTCATAGTTTTACAGCCACGCCTATTGAGATGGGGAATGGAGAGAAATGGGTTAGAGTAGATGTCCGCGGACAGTTTTTCCTGTAAGGTACCCTGTAAGAGGCTGTGTAATAGGATACGTCCATGATCAGGTATAATCAGATAAGGTTGATGATAGGCGCCGGTATAGCCTATGCAAGAGGCGTATTCCCGAGCATATCATGTATCCAGTTCGCCATAGACACCAAGTAGGTATGCAGGCATGTGCATCTGTACATGCTTTGTCATCAGCTACAAGTTCCACTCCCCTCTAGCCCCTGCATGTGGCCTTATACTACACACAAGCGGCTTCACAGGCATGGACACTAGAGCTGGATACGCTATCATGGAGCATGGTCATCATCATAGTGTAGTCTCCCATAACCACCGATGATCAGCTCAGTCTTGGTGTTACTGTAGGCTATTGGCGAGTCGAAGCCACCCAAGAGTGCTGTGTACGAGTTCCTCTCAGCTGAGCAACAACAGGAGGCCGACGACTTTCTCAAATCGGAAATCCTCCCAGAAGTCAGGTATTGTGCGGTTTTGGTCATCTACTTGGTGTAGAGCCATTCTTAGGCGACTATGGTTGGACTCAGACGTTGAGAAGGAGTTCGAGGACGAGTGGCTGAATAATGCGGCACCGATTACTACAGATGACGTGGCCCTCATGGAGAGAGCCTTGGAGGAGGTACATGAAGTTGCAAGTAACTCGAGCCTCCCTCCTTGGGTGCGCTGAAAACTGCTGTTTATAGATAGCAATAATACGTCGAAGCATGTTGAGGCTAGAGAGAGGAAGATACAGTCAGTTAAGGAGACGATAGAGAAACAGGAAGAGGATCTAGCAAAGGACGAGAAGCGGCAGAGGAGAGGTCTCGGGCTCAAGCTTCCTGAGGCTACTAAGAGACAGAAGCTTCTTATTGCGGTAAGGAGGAGCAAAAGACCAAAACCTTTACGACACTTCTCATGTCAGGTACTACCTAACAGAACAGCCAGTGACATACTCTGCACTTTCCCAGAGGAGATACTACCAGGGCCCAGGCTGTACAACATAACCCTCCGCCTAGCATGGTGAGTGTCCATAACCAACATCATCGCCTCGTCAAGCACCACCTTCGTCAACAGGGCCATCGTCTTTGGGGAGTACGGCCTATCTGCGTCGTCGGGGTTGAATGATATCATGAAAGTGGTAGCTAAGCAAGGTATCAGTAAGCTCGAACATGAAGGGAAGGACATCAACATAATGGCCGGCTACAATAAAGGAAACAAGAAGCAGGACGAACCGATACCTGACGATGCAATAGCGGCCGAGGACCTAGTGCAGACCAAGTGCACCCAACAAGATGAGACCCCACAAGGGACAGTGCCTGTATAGGTGTATCATCGTAATCCACGTCCATCATTTGATCATTCCAGCGTTACTACTGTTTCTGTTCGCCATGACTTGTGTACAGCCTTCCAGCGTCTTTGACCACAATTATCAGCCTTCGCCATAGCGCTCGCCCAAGTGGTCAGAGAACGTTGTCGTGGCGTTGTGTGGTACGTCTAGTCTAGACGGTCTAGACATGTACCGAAAATCAAGCTTCATGAGCTCCTTGCTTGCAAGATTCCGTAGTGTCATACCTCTATGGCGATATGAAGGCATCACTATATCAATTATAGACTTTTCTTATCCCCCTATTATGGCATCCAATGTCGACGTTCGCCTCACTCGCCCTCCCCTCTGTCCCCTTGTCGCCCGATGGTACTTCTTCTATCCGTTTGCCAATACTCCACCTCGTGACCTGTGCGCCTCGTCTCGTGACTCTGAAGGACCTACTAGAGTGTTGCTATTCGGATGTGGTGATATCATATCCCTAGGCCATACCTTCCTCCTCAACCAGACATGTGCTCATGCCGAGGCTTGGGCGTCTACTCCCCTGAAGGCAGTTTACTGTGATACCGAACCTGCTATCATCGCTCGAGACCTGGTCTATTTCCAGCTTTTACTAAATGCTGTTTCTAGCGAGATGGAGGTGGACCACCGCTTGTCTCCTCGGGATGCCTTGGTTGCTTGGGAGGGGGTGTATGGTATGTTCATCACTGAACAGGTCGCTGATCAGCTGAAGGACGCTATCTGTGACGTAAGCGAAGCACCACTGAAAGATTCCAAGGACTGGCTGTGTTCAGAACTCGGAGGATGTGGTGTTCATGTTAGTAACATGAACACCGCAGCCTGTAATACAGGCGATAGAGATAGAGTCATTAAGCTGCTGTGTTGGTGGTTGAACCACTGGTTCAAACTGCTTGATGGAAGGATCTGCCTTGGAAGAGCTTCCACCTCTAGAGTCTGCGAGTTGCGACGTCTGCTGTACGACAAATTCTCTACGAAGCCGGAAGGCGGAAAGCTGAGTCCTCGCGTAGAGGCCGTTGCTCCGGCCTTAAGTCTCGATGGTGTCGAGGAGGCCATAAAGCACTATAGTCGGCTTGGTTTCGCGGGCGTATCCATTGGGCGCTTCGGTCCATCTCTGTCCCCTTGTGATGGTGCTCATTATGAGCACTCTATGTAGACTCTACGAACTCCGAATTACTATTTTGAGTCGGAGCCGGCACTAGTTCTAGCCAAGAATTGAAGTTGTCGACTATCACTAGGACACTTGGAGCTTCCCAGCCTGTCGAGGCCATGTGGAAGCCTGTTAGAGGGCCTAGGAAGTCGATAGTGATAGATTCAAACCATCGAGCTATTGATCGAGGTCTCTGTCCGCCGAGTGGTACGAGTCGTAGTCTCTCCTTCCGACAGGTTATACATAGCTCTGTGAACGCCTAGCGTCTCTCTTCATAGAAGGCCACCAGAACTGTTGTCGAAGACGATGCAACATCGAAGTGGTTGGTGAGTGGTGCCAATGGGAGTTTGCGAGAAGCTCAGTTCTCAGTTTCTTTTCCCATGGCTTATCGGGCTCATCAGGTATATAAAGCCGCTTGTTGGCATACGCGTCAACAAAGTAGATGTTATTGTCTTCAGCCAGAAAGTACCATAGAGTCGAATTCTCGCGAGCAGTTCTCTCAGATGATTGAGTAGAAGACGTCGGAGTTCGTCATGTACACTCTACATTGTAGAGTAGTGGTCAATCCCGCCTTTCTTGCCGATGTCGTAGACTTTCCGAGTGCATATTGTAAGCCTTTCAGTGTGACGTCGGGTCAAGTCATTGCCAGAGTCTGGCATGTATACTACGCGGCGAATTCCTACGACTCTATTCCCGCTCAGCTGTGGAAGATCTACGACCAGGCAGGCCCCTGCCCTACAGCACTCCCAGGTCAATTTAATATTTTACCCGAATTTTTAATAATTTAACCACTTCTTTCGAAAAGAATACCAATAATTTTTTCATTTACCGACTGATTTTAACTAGAAGTTCTAGCAGGAGTGTCTCATGTGGGGTTTAGGTTCTAGCGTAGAACCTAAACTCCGCGTGAGACACACCCGACAACAGCGGAATTGCGGTATCACACTGCAGACTCGGCGCATCGTCAAACTGACTCTATTGCATGGACGCCGCTACCACCCACCAAGTGAGCGTCCTGTCAGAGCATCACTTCGTATTCCGGACTTGAGCTGCCACGATGGCTGAAATACGGTCTGGGTATAAGGATTGCAGCTTGACGGAAGAAGCGGTTCCCGCTAAGTTGCAAAGGAAGTGATCCGTGAACTACGAAAGAAAATGCTCACAGAAACTCTAACGTGCGCGCGAGGGCTCCATTCTTAATAACATGAGCTATGTCCGGCTCTATTCTAGCTGATGTATCTCGTATTCGGCTCCATGCGACTCTTCTAGCCGACGGCATGAAGTACTCGACACAAACACGTCCGTCCCTCCTGTGTCAAGCCTTGACATACAAGCCGTTGACATTCCTGTGTCGCGCTCCTTAGGAGCGCGACCGTAGAGGCCCTGCCCTGGAGACTCACTGCCTGGCGGTGAGTCTC